AGGAGGAAGACATGAGGGAGTCTGAAACTTTGATTAAAGCTGCCTGCACTTTCAAACCTAATGGATTCACTGTGCAGCATCTTAGTATTAGATGCACATTTTACATGTACATGTTGTCAAAAATGTTGTAGGAATGTCAGTAACAACCAAATTAAATGCACGTAGGTTTGGGGATCACTACGAGTGGAATAAGGCCGTCACCTGCATCCACAATGTACTGAGCCAACAGCGCTGGTTGGAGCATTATGGGGAGGTGGTCATCAGAAACACAAAGAGTGATGAGTGCACCTGCAAGATTACCTTTGTCAAGGCAAGATGTTGTCATGTATGCATGCACATTTCTGTTTCCTGTAACTGACTGTAGCTGTGACTTACTTATTTCTCTTTCTTTTTCCTTTAGTCTCGGTATTGGAGCTCAGAGAGCAGTAAGAATGAGATCCAGGGAGTTGTTTTGGACCGAGCTGGAGAGGTGGTTCATCGTTTTGGAGGCTTCTGGCATGAAGGCATTTTCTGTGACACTATGGCCACACCAACATGCATCTGGAAACCAAGTGAGAGCCAAGTGTTTGCACTGAAGATGTGGTTAAAGTACTATTAGAGCTATAAAGAAATTTTTAGATAACTTTAACCTCCTTCTACTTTCAAGAAAGATTGAACTGAACACATTTTGTTTTATCAAAATTGGTTCATTCTTACAGTCTACAATGGTCTATTTTTGTCCAGATGTACAGCCTGATGACCACTTGCAGTACTATGGTTTCTCACGCTATGCCAGAGAACTAAATGAAATGAATGCAGACTTGGAAATCATCCTCCCCCCTACAGACACACGCTTCCGCCCAGACCAGAGGTAACGAGCAATTTTTATATTTCATTTTAAACATATATTGAAGTTATTTTCTGCAGTTTGACAACCTCCATTCCACTCATTGTCATGTAGGCTCTTGGAGGAGGGGAAAGTGGCTGAGGCGGATAAAAAGAAAGATCAGGTGGAAGAAAAGCAAAGGGAGAGGAGGAAGGAAATGGCCAAGAGAGGAGAGGAGCACATCCCTAGGTTCTTCAGGTTCGAAACAAAAATTCTAATGTCTAATCATTTAAGCTTAGTTTGTTGATTAATGAGTTAGTACCAAAGAATTGCAATGAAACAGAGAAAAATAAACACATGCAATTTAGACATCAGAGTTCAGTCCAAACCTGTAACGTGGAAGACTGAAGAGTTTAGGATGGGGAAATGGGCAAGTACCCGTTTCAGCTGGCAGGTTGTAACTAGATTTTAATCAGTTTCAAAATCTAAAGTTTCAACATACAATCTTAAAAACCAATGCTCTCCTAAAGCAAACTGAATCTTTGTCTTTTTCTGTGGGTTGTGGAAACCCACAGAGGCCTTCCTCTGATGCAGATTATATCAATGGGTTGGTCCAAATGGTTTTCCATGTGGATCCGCTTCCTTTGAGGATGTCTCCAACTGCCGCTCACTGAGAGTGTCTGTAATCAGAACTGTGACAATGATGATAATAATAATAATAGAGGAATTATTTGAAAGAAATTCAAATAATTGACAGAGAACTGTCAATTACAATTGTAGCATTGTACAATTTTCCATATTGTACAATGCTAAGGTGTGTTATAGGTGTTTTGTGCTCAAGAAAGGGAGACAAAATCATTCATTTAAAAGTTTTTACAAATTCCAATTGGGTTGTTTTAAAAGCTGTTCAAATAAATAAATAAATAAATAACCAAGACCCAGGAATAAAAGTAGTAAGAATTTGAAGTAGCCCCATTTTAAAAAAAAAAAAAAGTCAATACTTTCTTGATGTGAATATTTACCCATAGATGTTAAGAGAGTTGCTTCATGTAGAAAACATCATGTCAACAGCTTGACATAAAAGGAAAAAAAAAAACTTCAGATCAGATTTTAATACAATGTTCATTTTGGGAATTCATTATAGTTAAGATTATTAAAATTCCCTGACAAGTTTGTGGTTTTGTTTTCCAGAAAAGTGCTTGATGAGGCTGGCAGAGAGGTGTGGCTATATAATGGAACTTACTGGAAGATTCGCCAAGATCCAGGTTTTTCGAAGAGTAAAAATCTAGCCTTGTGGTAGACTTGTGAAGCTGGCTGAAATCCCCTGGGACATGTGTCTCACTGGATTTATTTCATGAAATAAATAAATCCCTTGGGACATCACTGTGATTCTCTGCAGACAAACGAAGACTGTGTGTTCCCTAGAATCAGGATAGTACGACTGTTTATAGAAACATGAATTAATCTTTTGTATAAAACTTAAGAGGGGAGATGCAACAATGAAACCAATTAACCAATTTTTTTTTGAACAGTCTGTACAGGAGCATTGTTTTCACTAAACTTGTCTATCTTTGTGTCTGATCTTAAAACCATAGAGAACACATTTTATTTTCAAGGTCAACATATATAGGGCAGGATAGTTACGCTACAGCAGAATCTGCTGAGCTGCACTATTTATTCTCTTCTTCCTGCAAGTATATATAAAGGGTGACGTGTGTTCTATTTTATTTCATTTGGTTGTGGAATTGTGATATTTTTGTGGTGATCTGGGTTGCGTTGTATATATTCAAGCCTCATTAGTCCTTTTGCTTGAATTAACTTAAACATTAGAATGCTTTGTAACACATTTGCTCTTAGCTGTTGCAGCTTTTACCAAAGTTAAAATTCTGCAAAAAAACTGGAAAATCTCTACTTGTGTGGTTTTGGGTTGTTTTTTATTATTATTATTCCAAAATAAACAATACTATAATCTTATCTGTTCTGTTTTTTTGTAGCTGGTTCTTGATGAGGTAAGGATAAACATAACTTGAAGTATAATTTTTCAAAATATGGCAAGTTACTTGAGTCTTCAGTTAAAGGCTGAAACAGTATTTTAAGTGACTCAGTCACTTAAATAATGTTGCAATAATCAATGCGACTAAAGATAAACTCATCGAGCACTTAATGCTCGATGAGCATTAAGTGATTTTAATTGGCTTTGTAGATAAAAAAAAACAACTCTGGAACATTCTTTGATTCATAAAAAGCCTTAGATGTATCATAAAATATTTCTGAAAAGGCTTTCTGACATTGGAGTCTAGCCGATCAATTGATCGGCTAGACTTTACTGATGGGTAAAAAAAAAAAAAATTTAAAACAACCTTCCACTTGCACATACTGACCTACTCAACAAAGTATCCAAAGGTGTTCCACAAGGTTCTATTCTGCATCCTGCTCCATGCTTTCACAATATATAGTATATTAACAATTTCTCATATGCTCATTTTCATTTTTATACTGATGATACTCGTATTGTGCTGCCAATACCTTTGAAAATGCTTTGAGAAGCATAAAGCAGCTTTTGATGTTATTCAATCCGATTTGTGTGATTGAAAGCGTATTTAAGAACTCAAATCTAAAGCAAAATTTTTAATTGTAGGCATAAATTTAAATAATTTCATGAAGCCCATTACTTCTCCCGGTTCTCAGCCTATTGAATGAATGACAAAGCCTGATTATTTATATTGAGACAACCTCAATCTGTGTTCCCAAAATTCAACAGCTTGTAAAGAAACTGAAGTTGTTTTTATCTCAGACCTATCGTTTGAGGCTAGGAAACGTCTATCATTGGTCTGTGAGCCTTTATTCACCATGTGTTTAAGACTGCTTTATCTATCTAGCTACCTTTTTTTTTTTTTTTTTTTTTTTTTTACTTATTGCCATATCTGATTAGTTATTTTATGCAGATTGTACTTTAATATCAGTAGTTTTGATTTGGAATAGTCTGTGTGCTTCTGCCATTCTTGGCCAAGTCCCTCTTACAGATATTTAATCTGAGACATACCTGCTTACATGTATACATGGGCGGAAATCCCAGGGGGCCATGGGCTGTCCGGCTCCCCAATCTTGGAAAAGTCTAGAATTATCTATTTTGTCAAAGGTAGCACATATCTCAATTATATTCAGCTCTAACTCTTATGTTAATGAGTTTGCTTTCTACTCCCACACACTGAGTTGTCAGTTAGTTGTAGTGCTTAGACCCTCTGGTTTCAGAGAGAGATGGAGGAAGAACAGAAATATATGCTTTTATTTCTTCAACATAGATCCTCAAAAACCACACAAACAAAAAATCTATTTTTCTATAAAAACCCTGGTGCTTTGAGTATTAAGTTTTTTTTATACTTCCCAGAGCTTCATTAATTCGATCTACTTGTTGGTTTTCAGCCATCCAGGTCATGGCAAAACCCAAAAAGATGCAAACATAAAGCAACTTAGCAAATTAGACTTTAAACACATAACTTGTATTGAGAGCACTACAAGAAATATATATTTATGAGGAATTTTATCAAGTGGAGTTAATTTTTGTAAACATGTACCAGAGATTATATCTGTGCCACTGAACCAAGCTCATATCGAAACATTCAAATTTCAGTTTGACTTTTATGGGTTCTCAGTAGTTTGCTTACTGAGAAAAACACGTTTGAGCATTAACACTAATTTTTGGTCTTGAAAACAAAACATTTTAAACCACATTTAAAGTTACATTTCACTGTAACTTTGCTAATCCCCAAAATCCTCTGAAAGAAATTTCCCTGCTTATTGTGCCCCTGAATAATGAAATGTATACAAACATTAGCCTGGGTTTCTTTGGTATCAAATCCCAAAAAGGTGCAAACATAAAACAACTTAGCAAGTTAGACTTTAAACACATAACTTGTGTTGAGAGCACTACAATAAATACAGTATATTGTACAAATCTCATCTCTTTCAACCCATTTCTTTTTTGTTCTTGTGAAAGAAAAACTGCTGGTCTGCTCCTTGGCAGGCAAACAATTCTGACACCTCCACTGAAAAAGTGTAGGTGACATGGCTTGACATATTGAAACTTTGGGGCTTAAAATAATGTAAATCTTTATTACTAATAGTTGCCCAAAATAAATAATTATATATCTATTCATTTATCTATATATATGCAGCACATCCATCCAGACCAGGATCAATTAATCAAATTTTATTTGTATAGCACATTTCAGCAGCAAGGCATTTCAAAGTGCTTTACACCATAAACACAAAAACACAAAGTCATGCATAATAGAATAAACAATACATTGTTCCATATTACATTTCAAATACAATTCTAAACAGGTGTGTTTTTAGTTGAGATTTAAAGGAAGTCAGGGTTTCTGCTGTTTTACAGTTTTCTGGAAGTTTGTTCCAAAGTTTTGGTGCATAGATGCTGAAAGCTGCTTCTCCTCTCGGTTCTGGGGATACAGAGCAGAACCAGAACCAGAACCTGAGTCTGGAAGGTTGATACAACAACAGCAGATCTTTAATGTATTGTGGTGCTAAACCGTTCAGTGATTTATAAACTAACAGTATTTTAAAATCTATTCTTTGAGCTACAGGGAGCCAGTGGAGGGACTTTAAAACTGCTGTTATGTCTCTATCTTCCTGGTTTTAGTGAGAACAGGAGCAGCAGCTTCTGGATCAGCTGCAGCTGGAGGATTGATTTGTTGGACAGGCCTGTGAAGACGCTGTTGCAATAATCAATGCGACTAAAGATAAACGCATGGATGAGTTTCTCTAGATCTGGCTGAGACATTAGTGCTCTAATCCTGGAGATGTTCTTCAGGTGATAGTCACAAAGTTGGCCTTCTGTCTTTATATGGCAAGCAAGGTTCATGTCCGAGTCCACCACTACTCCCAGGTTTCGGGCCTGATCGCTAGTTTTTAGTTGTAATAACTGAAGCTGTGGATTGACTCTAGATCGTTCCTCTTTATGTGCTCATCCTTGTCAGCTTACCTTGGTTCCCTTTTATATTGATCTAGATAGGTATAGATGTATGTACAGATATCTAATTAAAGCCATATATAGATTTAATTATGTCATGAAAACTGATATGGGGGTGAAATCTTTCCAGGATCACACAGAAAACAGATCATAACAAGCCTGACAAACTGAAGAAATCTTGTATGTTGATTTACTATTGATCTTGGAAAAGTGTATTATGTTGATTATAATGATTATAAAGTGAGTAAATTCTGGATTATTGATTCTATAAGAAGTTATATATATTAAGAAGTTATAATTGAAGAAATGTATTGGAAGTGATTGTGTTGATGATTTATGTGTTCATATAACATGAAAAGGACTGAAATCAAATAATAAAAGCATAGTTTGTGGGTGCAGAGACAAGCCTGGACATGTCTTGAGGATGGGCGTGGACATGCCTGGCCTGGATGCTAAATAAGGAAATCCAGGAAAAAAGCCGGTAAGCCTGGGATAACAAGCAAAGCAGAAGTGGACAACTGTTGACCAAATATGGAAAAGACCTAACATGAAGTAATCAAATGCTTGAGAAGTCATGTGCCTGTTCCCCATAGACAACAGCAAGGGGAAAAGAGTATAAATAAATGGAGAAAGCAGAGAGCTGTGATTCTTCGTCTCCAGCGGACTGAGCAGGCAAGCAGCAGGCCAAAGGACCAACAAGGAGCTTCGCCCTGGACCCAGAGGGAACTCAAGCCTTCACATGGCTGAAAGGGAGATGGGACCTGATGCCCAACAGCTCTGGCTCCTGATTTGATTGTGGCTCTACGCTCAACCCAAAAGATCTCAAGAATTGCTGCAACGGACTTGGGGCTCGGACAATGATCACAAGAGTGATGAAGATTTGGGACGTTTGAAAGAAAACAACCAGCTTTGCTTTGTTCCTATTCCAAGACAAGACTCTGTCCAAGGACATTCATGCCTTCTGTTGCCGAGATCCTCTATCATCTGGGTATGAGTTACCTGCACCCCAAAAAGCCTTACTTAGTAAATTGATGGCACAGTTTAGGGAAAGGAGTTAGGAGAGGTTTATGTTGATTTTATTCAAATTTATTTTCTGTTCTTAGATACTTGTAATTATTGATGATTAATCTGGTTGCCATTTACTCCTGCTTAAAACTTGCTCAAATAAATATATATTAAAATTCTAATGAGGTTCGTGGATATTGAAATTAATTTAGTCATTTTATTGGTTATGGTTCTTCTACTAAATGTAAAATCCATGTACATGGTTCTAGAAATGTGGTGGCTCTGGACTTTCCTTTAGTTGACATAAAATAATGACCTTGGGACTCAAAGTCACTGAAACTAATCTAGCCATTAACAAGTGCTCGTTATTCTTAGAGAGAGGGCTACCATTAACAGAAGCGGTTATTGGGGTTATGCAGTTGTGAGGGCTACTCAACTGATTGCTTTTTAACTGAATAGGGTCTTAACATCTGGATTGTAGGTAATTAGAGCTAGACCAGAAGTGTCAAACTCCAGTCCCGAAGGCCGGTGTCCTGCAACTCTTAGATGTGCTTCTGCTGCACCACCTGAATAGAATAATTAGGTAATTAGCAAAGTTGCCAGAGGGGAGTTTGACACCCCTGAGCTAGTCTAATCTCTCGACACCAGCTTAAGACAGATTGTTCCTCTCAGTCCTTCTGCAGGGTAATACTCAGGTTTTAGGGACTTTCCGGACCGGTTATCAGGGGTTTCAAACTCCAGTCCTCAAGGACTGGAGTTTTTAGATGTGCCACAGGTACAAGACACTGGAATGAAATGGCTTAATTACCTCCTCCTTGTTCTCCAGAACCTTGCTAATGACCTAATTATTCTATTCAGGTGGTGCAACAGAGGCACATCTAAAAGTTGCAGGACACCGGCCCTCGAGGACTGGATGTTGACACCCCTGGGTTAGACGGAGAGCTGGTCACTAGTCAGCCCAAAGGAGTAGTGAGGGTTAGGGCGGGGCTGACTATTGCCTAATAACCAACAATGTGTAACATCAGTTTATAGCACAAACGGCTCAAATACAAATGATTAGAAGCTGTAAATTTCAGACAATATGGGGCACAAATTCTTTGAATAGGGTTTATTTTAAAACATTGTTTCTGATGATGTGGTACATCAAGCGTTTCCAGAGGAATTTCATTCAGTAATAATATACAGCTGATGTCTTCAGGTTTGATTTCAACAGTGATCACAATAAGTTTCCATGCCACATCATTTTTTTAGCTTCCATATTAGGAGAACACAACTTGTGAATTAATTCTACTTGTGTTTGGTTATGTACAACCAGCCCAGCACTTCCAAACCAGAGACTATTCACATGTTGGTGCTCATCCTGGTCTGGCTGTTGGCTGGTGTCAGCTCACCCTGGTTCCCTTCTCTGGGTGGAGACTGAAAAGGGAAAAAAATACTTAAAACACAGTCTGGTTTTTGGTGTCAGTTCAATTTGCAATAATTTACTTTAAAACTTTAGTCATGAGGCAAAAAAAAAAAAAAAAAAAAATCATCCCTTTTGGAACAAACTGTATTTACAGTTAATTTCTCCCAGAGTACACAGTGTGAGAATAAACTAAATGTTTATTACACACATATATATATATATATATATATATATATATATATATATATATATATATAAATAAATATATATATATATATATATTTTTTTTTTTAACAATTTAAGTAGAGCTTTATAGGTAGTTGCAAAAATCTGATTTGTAGTTTATGTTTTTACCTTGACATGGATCTGGTTACGAAGCACAGCAGCACGAAGGATCATCGCTTTTGCCCGTCTCTGGAACTCTTTTCCCATGTGGAGAGATTTTTCAAACGTGGTGCTCCTCTGATCCACGTCTCTCGCATACAGAATCTGTCAATACCAGCAGACTTTCAGAATTGAACCTAAAATCACAAAATCATACGTTTTGACTGCAAATTTTCACCTTGCTATGGGAGTCAATACGTGCGTTGACAAGGCCCTCCAGTATCAACTGAGTAAGTTCATCTTCCAAAGCTGCCACTGTGGTATTGAAAGCCTGCGCCATCTTTGTCATGTCAGCCGATACATAAGGACTGAAATACTGAACACACAAAAAAAATTTACATTACATATAAAGTGCAGTGAAAAACAGTTGAATTCCAATGCATTTCTTGTTTTGACTTTTTTTCAGACTTTTTCAGGTCGCACTTAAAGAGGCGACCTGTTTAGGAACCGGCCCGTTTGGACGCATTGTCGGCGACGATGATGGTAAATATTTACAGGTTTTTAATTCTTCATGGAGTTCTAAAAGTTGTTTTAGAACAACTTTTAATATCAAATAACCAGAGCAAATACAAAACTGGAGTTTTTAAATTATTTTATTGAGGAGAAAATACTACCCAAGACTATCTGACCTTAAGTGATAAAATTGACCAATAAATCTAACTGGTTGACAATGAGCCTTTTCAGTGCAGTCTCTTCTGAGAAAGAAGAGTTTCTCAGAGTTTTCTCAGAATAGAAACTATTCTTTAAAGGATAATTTTCATTTGGCCATTCTGGAAGGTTTTTTGGCATAAAGAAATAGTTAAAAGCAAATGCAACAACAGGATGTCCAGATTCAGCCATAACCAAAGTGTGTTTGAGGATTCACATCTACATCAATTGCAGCAACTTGTCCAAGTCCTGGAGTTGGTAAAACAGCCCCAGATCATCACACTGAGGGTGTGATGTTTCTTTGCTGAAATGCAGTGTTACTTTTAGAATAGAAGAGAACAGAATATACTTTATTCATCCTCAGATCCACCTCCACTTCCTTGGTCTTTGTCACATGGTGTTGGCCAAACTGCTCAATGTGACAAAGATTTTTTATTTTTATACACCAAATGTAACAAACATTACCCCAAAAACTTCAGCTTATGTTGTGTCAGTCCACAGAATATTTTCACCAAATTCTTAGGATTCTCCAAAATCGTTTTTGGTGAACTGAGCAGTGGTGTGACACTTCTGGAAGGCTTACCATTCCCCCACTGTTTTCTCTGCTTGAGGATTTTGGCTCTCCACAAGACCGACTGATAGATGTCAATGACTTAAACATAACAAATAATATAGTTACACTAAAAACTCAACTATGATAATGCACGTGATGTATGTCTCACCTGGATTAGGGCTCTATTTCTTATCTGACTGTACAAGGTTTTGATGTGAGGAGCCAAGTACATGTCCAACAGCAGGTTATCCTGAAAGAAATACCACAATTATTGCTGGAGTAATTTGAATACACATTTGTAATGGATTTATAAACTGTTGCAAACTCACACAAAGCAGGCCATTGACTACTGTTGTAGTGGCCAGCAACATAAGTAAATCCTTCAGACTGTGATGCAGTGGGAACAATCAATACATTGAGGGCTGCAAAGGACATGATGCCAAGACAAGATGGCTCCACCCATGTGGACCATGTGAACCTCCAACAAACAGTCATTATGGTAAAAGTAGTGCAGCTCAATGCGTTACATGAGCCATTTGGTGAGGCATTTTTGCCTTATCAACCAACATTAAGACAAAAGATTTTAAAGGAGTCATTCATCAGGTCCATGAAGTTATTTACGAGGAATCCCAGAGAAATTGACATTAAAGCCCAACAATGTCATGAATGCTAAATTACAAGAAAAAAAAAGTTTTATACAGGCTTGTAAAGGAAATTTGAAGGGGATAATTCTTTTTGTTAAAGAATGTAAGAATAAATGTCAGCGGTTCAGCTGCAGTAATCTGTCCCACTCAGACATCCTGAGCCCAAAAGACCTCCAGATGAGGGCCGCTTTCTTTGTCAGCATCTGACCAATTGTGGTGACAATTGGTTCCAAACCTACTGGATTGATTGACAAACTCATGTCAATTGATCATGTAAAAACACACAATTCAAACATATTCACACAATATGCAACATGATACTTAGGGGAATTAATTTAAATATGAATGTGTTCATATAAGTCTGACTCCTCTCAGTCCAAGACTTATGAAACTCTCTGAACCTCTTGAGTGAGGTTTGTTTCACAATCATCTCTAATTGTGCAACTTTTTCTAACATTTTGTCTTTTCTCTTAATGTCCCGTTTACATGTATGAAGACAGAATTGGGTAAACTGGGTGATTTGGTCTTGTTTGATATTGAGATTTTCCTGGAAACTGAGGTTTTGGTTTTCTTTCAGTTTAAACTGTAATCATGTATCTCAAGTTAGAAGCAAGTTCTGCAAAACTCTCAAACAGTTCAGTTATATTTTAAAGCATTGGTGTGTGTTCTTACCTTTATTTCATCCAGTAGTTTGAGACAGGATGCGTACTTGGACTCGTAGAATTTGAAGATGATATCACGGATCTGAGGTTCTAATTCAAGAAATAGCTTGAAGGAGCTGGTGACAAAAATAATTATTTTCATCAAATTTAGATGTACAAACATTTAGATGGCATCCATCAACAAAACCCTACCTGCTTGAGATCACATTACGTTGGAGCTCCTGTCTATCAAAACTGGCCAAAGCGCACAATCCCCCATATACAGCTACATTACTGGGAGACAAGAGCTGAAATACAATCCAGATAAATATTTTATTTAACAGATATTTTTAATCAGCTTAAACTAAGTACTCAATATCTGGGTTAGTCTTCATCTTACTTAATCCTTTTTGAAAGCTGTTGAACACATTGTACAACTAGTGTAACATCTATACTCTGACAATTTTTATTCTCCCACACTTTAAAAATTGTCTTCAAGCAGTAAGAATATCAATGAGTCAAAGTAACTGTGGGGTTTTATTTGGTAGAAGACGCTGACAAACTCAAACAACTTTTGAACTTGGATTTTATTGACTATAGATTTCTGCTTAGAAATTGGATGTTCTTTTAATGCCTTAAGACAGTGCTTCTCAATTATTTTCCGTTGCGCCCCCCTAGCAAGAAGAAAACTATTCGCGCCCCCCACTCCCCACCGTGACTATCCATCTCTGCATAACATTTTTTCCTTATTAACATTAAAGACAAAAAGAAAGACATATGGTCAAACTTACAAAGAATAACTTTATTAAATTGTGTTTTAAGTCTGCAACAGAAAAGATTTTAAGTGCATCAATGCCTGAAATTAAAAATAAATAAATCCATGTCTACTGCTGCAAGCAATATCAGCTCCTCTGCTATGGTGTGGGGCTTTTTGCACTGCGCAATTTGGTACGCCACCTTATATGATGCTAGCAGCGCTCGATGGTTTACTGAAATAGCCTTCACAAAGCGGGATGACTGTTGGCAATATTCAGCACGTTTTCGCTGAAAAAACTCTAGCGGCTTATCGGCGTGATTGGGATGTAACGTATTTAAGTGACGCACTAATTTATTTGGCTTCATGCTGTCCGCTGCGAGCATTTTTAGACACAGCAAACACAGCGGTCTTTCCTCTTCTCCAACTGTAGTCACAGTGAAGCCAAGCGCTAAATACGCTTCGTCGTATTTCCTCTTCTTAGCTTTCGGTTGACTTTCTGTTGTCTCATTATCTTTGTCTCTCTCCGCTTTTCTTTTCATCCCTGTGAAAAACTTTTTCATGTTGGGGGTTGTTGAATAACGGAGGCCATAGACAGAACGCAGTTGGAGCTTTTTGTTGACTTAACACTGCTAACCAAGGCAAACCTGTTGTCCTGTAAGTCATAAAATGTTGCACTGTCGCAAACGTGACAGAAGTAACAATGAGAGCGCCACTGCCGCCTACTGTGCGCAATTACACTTTATACTAGTACGGCCAAAAAAAAGCCTGTTCCCCAGGATCACACGCGCCCCCCCAAGTATCGCACCGCGCCCCCCAAAGGGGGCCCGCCCCACTATTTGAGAAGCACTGCCTTAAGACAACATTTGTTGTGAATCAGCAGAATAAATGGAACTGAAAAAGGCTTGTTAATTGCTTAACCATTAGTGTAAATACTAATGCACATTTTTGTAACAATATGCAATAGCATCATTCCATTTTTGAGTCAGGAAATACATGAAACTTAATTTTTGGGATAATAATAGATGATAAAGTTAGATGAAACCTCACATTAACTATGTAATTGAAGTTGGATGTTTTGAAAGACTCTTCCAAACACTCAAAACAAAGAAGGTAATTGTGAAAGGAAGGCCTGTTTATGCCTGTCTGCATTAACAGGGTCTGTATGGAGATGGTACCCAGCGTTAAGTTCATTTACCATTGTATATATACTATCAGCAACAGCTGAGAATGGAATGTAAAGCAGCTATCAAAATAACACCGGTCAACTCTGGGTAAATAATATGGATGAGAGTTCTATGTTTGGACTGCCACCCTGAGGGTGCAATTCTACAACAGTTATTTATATATTTGCAGAGATTTGGTCAAATGATACAAGTAAATGGTTTCAATTTACATTGTAGTCTATAATTGTGCTTCTCAAACCCATTTGTGAAATTCAACATATGTTTCTCTTTCAAACAGTCAGACATACTTCATTGTTTTTTAATTAAACCACATTTGTGTTTGTTTCTAGCAATGAACCTTGTAAAATATGAAGGTTTTCAGCACAGCACTTCAAAAATTGAAAAAGGCACCTCACCTCTGGACAGTCGCAGTGGTCAAACGAAGCCTGCAGAAAGCACTTAGCAGCTGGTTTGTATTTTCTGGAGGCCAATTCAGCAAGTCCTTAAAATAAAAAATAATGCAATAAAAAAAATCATGAGTTCTGGAATTCTGCTTTTTTTTAGGGTTTTGGCTACTCACATTTAGTGTGTACCTTTGTATTTAATTTGTATTTCTTGTATTCTTTTGTATTTTGCGCACTGTGTGACACTTTTCTGCCTGTAAGCTGCTGATAACTTCAATTTCCTGAGGGAGTCTTCCCAAGGGATCAATAAAGTACGAGTCTAAGTCTAAGTCTAAGTCTTCAATAGGCAAATGTAACAGAAAATTCACCCTGACTGCCCCAGTCAATAAACTCCTATAAACTTCACTATGAGTATGCATCTGTGATCTCCTAAGGGAATGTTATTATGTGATGTTAGTATATAATTCCTCACAGCAGAAGATATTCTGGAGTTATTTAGGAATCAGGCGTCGCAATGTCTCATATCTGCCAGTCCATTTGTCAATAAATAATAAAACTAAGAAAACCTGAATGAGTATAGAAGTGACAAAAAAGCTTATTTTATTTATTCGGGTATACAGTTATGGTAAGTCAGAAATTGGTAGAAACCTTTGGAGAAAAATGAATTTGCAAAGTTAACTAATTCTTCACATTTATACAACTAATGTTAACTGTTCTGTATTAAATGTTCTTAATTCAAATTTCTATGATGAAACGAAACTTTCTCTGACTAAAAGAAGAAAATCTAAACAGTTTTACTATTGGGTACGTGAACCCCACTATAGGCATTTTTTATATTATAGAAGATAAACATTGGATTTTTGTAGCTAAAAATAACATTTACTATGTACATGACTGACTGGCAACAATAAATTCTAAAGTTTAGTTGGATAATAAATAAAATACTGTAATACCTGCTGAACACTTTAGTTTGGTTAGGACTGTCTGATTCTGGCTGTCTCGCTCCCCTCTTTGCTACAAAAAAGAAAACAAATCAATAAATACGGATACTTGACAATGGTAGAAGCTTTCTACCATTCATGAAAATGAATAAAATTCAGGAAAAACATTTTTTTGTTCTGTTACAAAATGCATCTTCTGACAAAGAATCAGATACAGGGTAAAACATTTAGCTCAAAGCTTTAGCATTTGTATCTCGTAAAAAAAAAAAAAAAAAAAAAAAAAACATCCCAGGAACAGAAACACAGTGATCACAAGTCTAAAGAGAAACATGTGAGCTGACTTTACCTCTGCAATTTCTGGTGTGGATTCTGCCTTGTTCACATAGCTCAGCACATGCGACCAGTTTTGGAGGTAAACACTCACCTAGCAAAAACAAAAGACTTTGCTTTGTTATAATGCATTATTAGCTAGTAATGCTAAAATTATGTCCACATAAAGAAGATTGCTTCAAAAACTGAAAGCAACCAACAAAATGGCAGCTTCTAACAGAGATGGGAGACAGATGTTTCTAAGTTGTTTATTCATACAAAAAATATCTAACTTTGTGGAATGTGGAAGTTGTCTGTAAGGATAAACAACGAGCACTGTTGCCTGCTCCAGCCAGGTCAAATGAGGAAACAAAAGGCAAGGAAGCATAACTGGCTGGAAGGAGAACTTTTAACACCAGCCCCAGAGTACAACACTCAGGCTGATGAGCTTCAAAGCTGTTGGCATGTGGAGGGGGGGGAGGGGAGATGTCAGACCCCCTATGTTAGAAATATGACCATAATTTTTCACCATGTCACCTTCAGTCGTTTCATCAGAGATGCTGTTTAACCAGTCTTTCATATTGCTGGTAGTGCTGTATCAAAAAGATGATTTAAAATAAATTACTCTTAGGACAAGTAAAACCTGGTGGCCGGCTGTATCTGATAATTGAAAACAAATGTATAATAAATAAATAAATAAAGCAGAAATGTAAATAAATGAGATACAGTGAAGAAGTTTGATTTTTTTCCTAGTTTTTTTTTTCAAATTCATTGTTTTTGCTCTATGTTCTTGGTATTTCAAAACTTGGAATTGTATTATTTTGACATTGTCTACAACGCTTTTGCAGCAGCAGTGAGTAGTAATCCCATTCTGTTATACCTTTATGACATTCAGACACATGTTAATAACATGCTTAGCACTGGTGCAGTAGTCTCTGGCACGGGAGTAGCATTTCAGAGCATTGCTGAGGTCACCACAGTCCAAGTAGTGGTCTCCCAAATCATCATGGCCTCTTCTGAAATGGGAAAAGGAAAAAATGTGAGAACAAATCATCAAGAATTAGTAATGGAAAACATGTGACTAAAGTAACTGACGATAAACTGAGCTTTAATTTTGAAAATACATTTAAATCTAAAAAAAAGAAAAAAAAAAGCCACACTCCAGGCTTTTGTTCAGAACTCTCAACTGAACACTGAGAAAGCTGGACATGGCTGGGGAAGAAGAACAGGCAAAACAGACTAAAGATATTTGAGCTATGGTATTTAGCAAAGGTTTTAAATATTAACATAAAAATAACTTCTTGATTTTTTATTTTTAATACATTTGTAAGAATCTTAAACTTTTCTCGACAATTTCATGACAGGGTAATAATACAATGTGGAATAAGACTGGAACATAAAGTGTGACAAAAGTGAAGGGCTTTCCAGATGCACTGTTCATTCTTCCTATGAGGGGCTATTCCAATTCATTTTTCTGATGTAACGCTAGACTGTTACAGTTGGTTCTATATTTATGTATGAGTCAAACACTGACTGTGGTCTCTGTTAAGCAGCCAACAAAAGGTAAGTTTGTTATAAAACTTGTTAACATGAATGCCACCCTCCAAATAGTTTGAGCACTTGCTGATCAAATTATCAAGTTATTTTTCATAATTGTAGAACAATTCAACAAACTTCATAGCACTGCAAACCATTTACTTTCGATCAATCAAAGCTGAAGACGTCTTGTATTTTTCAGATACAAGACAGATGTTTACTTGATCATGAGTTTGTTTGTTTTTTCTAAACAGTGCTCATGTTAATTAAATACAGGTAGGTTATAATAACAATAATCACCTGATGCTCTCTTTGATTGAGTTGCCTTTATAGTTCTTCAGGTCTGTATCCAGCTTCTCCAGTTTGAGCAGAGCCTTTTTTCTTGTGGATTCTGCCCAGGCTGAGTCCAGTGGAGGTAGAACCCCTCCATCAGGAACAGTGTCAGGCACGCCCTGAACATCCCTAAAATAACAAGAGAAGAATTGGTATCTTTATTTACTGAGCTCTTCGTAATGTTTCAATCTATCAAGCAATCAAATTTTATTTGTATAGCACATTTCAGTTCACCTCCAGCAGATTAATCTTCATGTCTATAGACTGAAGTCATTGTAAAATACTGCTCATGTCCTTGGGGTCAGCCAGAGGCATTTTGCCCTGGTTTAACTTGGAGGTAAAGAAAAGTAAGGTAAAAATGAAAGTACGAAAATTTAAAAATAAATTCAGAGGCAGAGTTTTCAGTAAGGACGAGAGAGAGCAGGATGAGCTGTTCCTCCTTCCAGTCAGACTTAAGAAGTTAGCTTTTTAGAAGCCTTTAGTTAGCCTTCCTGTTGGTGCTAAAGCTTCTTGGTGCTCTGTGTTTGAGCTTGTCAGATTCTTTCTTCTTGTTTTTACTGTACCTTGGGATCAGTGCATTTATCATTTGGTGATCAATAGGTTACTGTCACATGTGTATGAGAATATAAACTGTATAGGATCTGTTACTGTCAGTGACCCCAAGAAGTTCCCTTCACGGGGTAGCAACAAATCCAGCAAAGTGGTGAGGAACTTCAACGCTCTGAGAGTGAATGGGAAAGTTTGAGTGTAACGATGGGAAATTACCTCAGAGATGAAGTATGTCAAAATGCATCAACACAACAAATCTAGTATGCAACATTTAAAAAACACTTGACGAAGCATGACTATATCAAGGCTCACTCCTGGAAAAAAAGACATCTGGGGCGGTCAGAAAGCAGGTAAAGTAGCGCACAACATTCACTCATATTAGCAGCACGATCAGAAAAATAAGCTAGATGACTGGCGATGTAAGATACAGGATTCTGCTCTCATTGATAGGCCGCTACTATGACTACTAGGATGTAATATTTTACAGACTTAGCGCCATTTCTGCTCCACCCGGTATTGAACTATGACAATGAACGTTTGCTTAAAGCTGCAGCACGCAACTTAAAAAATATATATATAAATAAAAGATTTTGCATATGTATTAAAACTTTCTGTCTCAATTAGATGAATTTATTGGCAAATAACTTTTTCGTTTTGCCAGATCACATAGTTGCATTTATACCCAAAAAGAAACAAACAGCAAATCTAATCTAATCTAGGTGATCGGCAGTGATTGGCCCTCATTGGTGATCGGAATAGGCAGCAAATGATCTGATTGGAGCATCCATAATTTTTACATTTCCTGTCAAATTAAAATTTTTTAATACAAAAAATGTTAAGTTGTCAGCAGGTTTGCTAGGGGAAACCTCGAGTCTGGTAGAATCAGTTCAATTAGGGAGCAAAATTACATTTGTTGCATTTTCAGGTGATGTGATTCACTGTCACATTGCATTTTATGAACTGAGCCAAACCCCCTGAAAAACCTGTTCCCCCACTAACTTGTAGTGGTGCTACACCAACAACTGCTGAAGAAAACAACATAAAAATCGTTCATGTCGCACTTATGTCGTCAGAAGATGACATAAGTGCAACTTCCTTCTTCACAAAATGTAAACAAATATTAAGTGGCATCAAGATTTTTTTGGGATTTCTTTGTCTTGAGTCTCTTCCTCAACTTGACACTATAAGCCATGCAGAAACATTTGATATTAAGCCTAATTTAGATTACCACCAGTTGGTTAAATACATGCTTGGTCAGATTCAGAGTTTTGGTTTCAGTTCATATCTAACAAGAAAAGAAAAAATATTGAAATGCAAATTTCAGCGTCTGTACCTTGTGGCTTCTGTTAGCTTTCGGTGGATCTCTTCGTATGTGTCTACATTGAAAGTTCTCTGGACGAATGTGAGGGCCATCTTCAGTGCCTCCACTCGAAGCTGAGGACAATGCTCAGCAATGAACTGAAGCCTCTCAATTCGCATTAATCCGCTGTAGCTAGTAGCATATTGTTCCAGGTCCTACAGATATCCACAAACAAGAGATATTATCCAAACAGGTCCAATCACAAGTAGTAATTTTAAAAAAAATTAGAAAATGAGGAAAGTTTAGTTTAAATACGCAAGAAAACACTTGACCGAATTCTCAAAAGTGTACTCCTTAATTTCAGATTTTTGGTTACACTACACCACTAGAAAGTTATATTAAACTTAAAAGTTTATCTTTAAAACATTTTGTTAATTTTGTCAGCAATGACTGGTGTGAAAGATTTCTGGATCAAGGATGCAATTGAATTATGTAAAAATGACTGAGTGCTTTTCACATTCTTGGAAGGAAAAAAAAAACAGCGACTTCTGGTGATAAGGAACCTGGATGCGCCCAGTTTCACAAACCTTAGCAGTATCACAAAAAGACAAAGCTGTGCAAATTATTTATTTATTTTGTCTATGAAATTACTGAAGATTGCAATGAGGACGTAAAAGGAGGGGTGCCTGAAGTCAGTCCTCGAGGGCTGGCATCCTGAATGTTTTAGTTCTCTCCCTGGTTTAACACACCTGGATCACATGATGGCTCGTTAAAAGGCCTAACAAGAACATTGACATGCTGAAAAGGTTGCTACTACCTCCAGGAAGAGAACTAAACTGTGCAGGATGCTGGCCCTTGAGGACAGACTTTGGGCACCCCTGATGTAAAGAAGTAGATTTTTTCTCCAAACATGGACAATGTGTTGATAATGATTTTTTTTTCATATATCTTTGTTTTCTTTTTCATTGCTTATTCTTAGCAGTATTTCAGATGTAATGCAAAAAAGATTTTGTAATTGATCTGTTTATTAGGGGTGCACCGACTGCAGTTTTCTGGCCGATCGCTGATCCAATTTTAGCCGATACCAATTTGAAAAGAAACAAACAGCAACTTTAGCAACTTACTTAAATGTAAGTTGCTAAAGTCACTAAATTGGCAACATTGGAATAGTGTTGGGCTACATGAAGAAAATCTAATATCCGATATTGCTATATCACACTACACAATTTATTAAGACATTTTTAAATGAGCTTCAATGTTATTTTAAACCGCAGACTCCCTGTTTCATACACCACACAAGTTCCCAACTTCAGTTTCCTGCTAGACTTAAATGTAAGCTAAATATATGAAATAAAAAGGGATGCAGTATTTTGCTATGAATTGTCTACACTATGACTAGATAACATGGTCAGAAAAAAGTTTTAATTATGAAAAAGAAATAGCGAGGGAGAGGAAAGTACTTGCTTGACTTTGACAAACAACATGTAGATGTGTTGTTACATAAGGGGTGTTTTGATTCAGCTTAAAAATAAAAAAAGTGACCTACATACAAACTGACAGATCATCAATAGAGCAGGTGTTTAAATTAGCTAATCAACCACCGCTGTGTTAGCTTGGCTAATAGCAGTGGTAGCCAACCTACCACAGCGATCACGTAATAATAATTTCAAAATACACATTAAGCCTAAACGGATAAAACTGTAACAAACTAAAACTGTAACAAACTGAATGTTCTGTTCTGTGTGAGGGTAATGATTGTCTTTGGTGCTGAATCCAGATATATAAAGTGGTGTTATTAGTTGCTATGGCAACAGGTCTGCGTGTAGTGTAGGGTCAACACAGAGAGCAAGAAAAAAAAATAAATTGTGATATAGATTGGTACCAACTGGTTTGCTTTTTTTTTCATTGTGTTTTTTCCATATTGCCCAATCCCACTTGAAAGCAAAAAGTTATATCTCAAATACTTGTAGAAGTCTGCAAGCAAAGATGTTTGATTTGATCTTTCTGTGGACAAGGAAGGGATGGGAACATCAGAATTCAATCTAATCTAATTCTTCTGGCAATACAAATGTGTGAAAGTTTCACACGGACACAGTATTTAAAACATACATTCTAACAAGCCTCAGTAATCTCAATATCTATGAAATGATTAAAGTCTCTTTCTACTTTGTAACAAAAGCTTCTCAAAAAGGGAGTGAATAGAAAAAACAGATAAATACCAGTGTTGGGTTTTCTACAATGTAGCTGATATCTGGAGCATTCTGTGGGTCATCTTGAGGATCTGCATCAATCTGCATGGGCTCAACAGAGCCCTGGAAAACAACACCACACACAGAGGACTTAAATTCAAGCCAGAGATAGACTCTAAATAACAAAACTAACATTGGAAGTTATTTTATTTAAATATAATCTATATGTTGCCTTCAAAAAATATTATTTAGAAAAGCCTTTCTTTTATCTGAATTTATTATTTTGTAATGTTATTTATTTGTACTTATTTTGTCTTTAAAATACCAAAAATATCACAATTGCACACAATAATTTTTTGGCTGTCACATTATCTTCTATATATTAAAATAAGATTATGATCAGTACTTCAGTAGCCTTTCTACCAGTTACTATTTTACACTTTAGTAATGCCTTGAGTAAAACCCCCTTAAATTAGGGGTACGTAAAATGTTACGTACGCACATTTTTGGGCTATTCTGCATAATTTTGAGAAGAACTCAGTTCTGTGGTGAACAGGCAAATAACTTAAGATTTCTAGCTAAAGTGAATTAACAAGGTAGTAAACGTTGTATTCAGAAAGAAGCTAAGCTCTGCCTCCACAACAAACGGGAAACTACTCGGTTTTTAGTATACTAAAACCCCTCTTCTAATTACCGGAGTCTCGCAGTGAACATGCCTTATGAACAGTTTTTTCTTTCCGTTCTTGTAGCTGAAAACGGGTCATGCCTTTTTTTATGCTAATTGTTAACAAACGAATCCGTTTTTCTATGTCGGCTGCCATTTTTAAGGGAATCTGCTCAACGTGCTGTCAGCCAAGCACCAAAAAATTGTATTGATAACTTTTTACATTTGCCATAATAATAACTGATTTTATTTAACAGAACCTTAAAGTAAAGTTTCAAGTTAAGTGTTACAAAGTACGAAGTATGATGGAGTACATTAGAGCATTATCAAATAGAACCTCATTGTAATTTCTAACGTTGACTTACCTGAAAGTTAAACACTTGCACAGGCAACGGCATCTTCTGATATTCGTCTGTGTTCTTACTTTATTGTTGAGATAGATAAGAAAAAGTAAAGAATGCAAAAGGTGATATGTGCAGGCCTCAGCAACAAACGAACCTTTTTCGTCTTCTTCTACTACTTCTTCCTGCTACACATCTTCTTCTTCGGTCTGTTAAGACTCCATCATGTTATACTACCGCCTCCTATTGGTTTCTCTGTTCATTACAACACTAAAACGTTGCACTACAGACCCACGAAAAGTCCCTTTTCATTTTTCTTTCGAATCATTAATACATCTTCTACTAACTCTCGTACAGATACTATTTATAATAGCCAGTTATGGCTATAAGCTATTCATTAGGGAAACAAAACACCCCTGGTACTTTTGTCTATGGTGGCCCACCATGATTATTTATATGAAATTATAGTGGCACAAGATATACCCTTGTATACCATTGTGCAAGGGTATATGCACAAGATATACTCTTGTATATCTTGTTGTTTTGTCTTCATTGCTGATCTGATTATGGACATTTCCTGAGATATACTCTTGTATATCTTGTGCATATTGTATTGTTTCAAATGTTTATATGCCATACAGAATCCTGTCAAGAAGAGAGTAACCATGCTAAAAGAAATGTACCATTATGGTGGGAGAGATAGCCATAGTGTTACAATTCCCATCCCAAAGTGAAAGCAGATATCAAAGAAACCCTTGTACAATACAGCATATCATCAAAGTAGCACCTTTAGAACAGGGAGGACACAGGAAGACCAAAAATAAACCAGTGGATTAAACTAATAAACAACAACCTTCCTGCCACTGGAAAAAACAACTTACTGTACATAGCTAAGCTTGAAGACAAAACATTTGGTTACCCTTCCTACATCTTGTTAAACACAATGACATGTAAACTCAATTTACTTTTTTGCTGACAGATTGTTTTTTGTTTGGGGGGGGCGGGAGTTAGGGAGAGATTGCAAGGTATGATTTTTATTGTTTATTTGATATGATATTGAGTCTGTATAACATAAACATTCTAAAAAAATATTTGTGAAAAAAAGGCAACTTAAAACATGAAACAGACTGAATTTCACTAGTTTCACCATGGTTACCATCCATTAATAATTATCCACTTCAACAATGCAATATGTGAAGGGGTGGAGTGTGGATGGAACAGTATACTACAATTTAATTTGTATTAATTATGTCTTGATATAGTTTTAGGTAGACTTCTGACCAACCTGCAAAGTACTCTCAGCACAACGGTAACTTTTAAAGAGTTTATTCACAAATATAATAATTATGGCATTGATTGGGAGATTGTTAGGTGGCCAAAGGGAAACCAGGAATCCACACAGATCAGCCGTGAGCTGAGAAATATATCGATCATGAGAAGTTGGTTTCTGTTTTCAAGAAGAGTTGAATAGAATCTGGGTAGCTGGTAAGGCCTGCTATAAATCAGCCAAAAATGGTCGAACATTTCTCTGCAGGTCTGCTTACTACACATCTCATTGGGAGGTGGCTGGATAGTGAGCTTGTATCCCCACCCCTCCAGTAAACACCCAATCACCATTCAGTATGTAAATGAGCCTATAGGTATAGTGCCTCAGTATAAGATGTCTTTTATACTGAGGCAGAAACAGCTGAAGAGGTAAAAATGTGAAGAACTAGTGAAGTTCTGTTAAATCTGTTAGAATTAATTTTGTGGCTGAGACATAAAAACTGCAAAAACAGATTTAAGCCAACTGGGAAATGCCATTCTGTTCTTTTCCAAATGTGCATCTGTCAGTGATTCTTAATTAGCATAGAGAGTTGCGAGTGCCTTGTACATTACACACAGTGTGTACAGACTTGTGTGTATTCTGCACTTTCAACACACGGATGTAATTACTATATTGGGCCTTTCTCCAGTGAACGTTTCATGCGAGAGGAGTGGTCACACTAGACAGGTCACCAGTCTGTCGCAGGGCATCAGCTGTATTAAAGAAAATCTAATTATTTCTGACATCCCTTTTCATTTTATATTTGACCAAAGTTTTGAGAATTCAATAATGGGTTGTGTCTTGACTGGAAGGTGAACCTCCTCTCTGTCCAAAAGTCATTTGAAACCTCTAGCAGATTTATTTGAAGCATTCCCCCTGTACTCAGCACCACCATCTTACTATCAATTCCAAACAGCTGCCAGCAGAAGACAGTTGCCCCACTGCATGATGCTGCCATCAATGTGTTTCACTATGTTCAGTATGATACACAGTACCTACTTATGCTGCGTTTCAGTGGTTCTTGTAACTGGGAAAGTTAATCTTCTCAGTTGGAATAATCAACTGCAAAGCGTCACGAAGTTGGATTTCCCACTGGGAAAGTGGGAACAACTCCAACTACCTCCAGTTACAGCCTGTAAGGCCAACTTTATGTGTCAATTTGACCACTCCTCATATTAACAGTAATGAGCTGTGGTGGAAACATGTTTGTTTTACAAGGCACACGTGTAAGAAAGTGCACTTGCTAGTATTTTGCTAGTACACATGGAAAAAATAATTTTCTATACTACAAGTTATTACTCAATACCTTGTACTTGAATACTTGAGGTATGCTTCTTTTTGGCAAGGAAAGGTTGTTCATTTAGATTACTTGGAATTAACCTCTCCTTCCAGCAGATAATACCGGAACAAGAGCTTAGTAAAATATTAATATTTCCTTAAAAAGTACTATTTTCAAAATGTGTTTTGACTATCAAAAACAAATATCATTATTACTTTGCTATTGATGCCAAAGCAACATATGATGAAGGGTGGGCAGACTAATGCAGCCAGGCTTTTTCATTTTTCTTCTCACAAGGAAATCTATATGGTACTGTACTGTGCAGTACAGTATTTACAATTCTCATAAGGTACAGTTCAACTGTTGTTTCTGGTTTCCCCAAATTCTACAGAATGTGGGAAAAGAGGTAGATCTACTCAGTGGATGGTATAATGAAGGTAAGCATAGGCTCGTTGTGCCGAAGTGAAGAGTCCAGATATTTCTGAAGCAAATGTATCTTCTATTACAAACAGTGTTTCCATCAACATTTTTTTTTTCTCTCTCTGCTTTTTGGCCTTTCTAGAAAAGAGTTAATGACCTAGAGGAGACAGAACATCACATGCTTCGGGTTTATAATGTACATGTTAACATTAACATCTAAGAAAATTACATCCTCATCGAGTCGCTCCAAACCAGTAGATGGAAACAATTAGATTTTTTTGGGCGACATTTCAAAAGTTTTTTCACAATTTGTGTGAAAATAAGACAGAAAAATAGCTATAAGATAAAGACGGAGATAATGTATATAACGACTATATTAATTAAAGAACGATGTGAATTTTTGATAAAAAGAATGGAAAAAGATGAATGTGACAGCAACATGCTTACAGTTTTAGTTTATATTATATAATTAAGAAGAAATATAATATCAAGGCACTTTATAAAACAATGTAATTCCCAATTTTCAACACACGGATGTAATTACTATATTGGGCTACTAGGTGGAAGCAAAGGACCATCCTGGAACAATGGATGATCCTTTGCTCACGCAAGCTCAAGCAAACCCAGGCCAAAATAAAGTATTTAAAAACCCATGCAATTATTTATAAGAACTACATTAATCAGAAAAATAATTATAATTCTTACATGTATATAATTGTAATATAACAACACTGTTCTCACAAAAAAGAAACGTCATATGTGTTGTTGTTTAAGAGATGAGGCGACATTGTAATGTCATTCATAGCATGTTTAAATGTAAATTTCTTTTTAAAAAAAATATTTTTCATGTCTCTACTTATGTACCGCTTTAAAGACTGCTACAGACGATAGACATGAATACTTCATAGCCGCTGAGCTGGACAGTATGTGGAGCTGGCACATTTCAAAGTAGAGTCACAACTCAAAGTTGTCTCAAGGGCAAATCAGACTTTACTGACTGTTAAAGCACCTTTTTTGAATTTGTATTTGAAGCTGTTTTTCTCTTCATAGCTGATCTGATTATGGATATTTCCTGAGGTAAATGTTGACACTAGCGTACTGGTGGATCTTTGCATATCCACCAGATCTGCAGAGATCAGAGGCAGATGATGATGTCCTACTCTTCCTCCTAATTCAGCCTGAGATGGCCACAGCATGTGCTGTCACAGAGCTTTTGAGCTGCATCTCTCAACTCATCCAGGAGGAGCAGGGGAGATGGGGAGCCTTCTTCAGCCTCATCATCCTCTGTAGCTGAAGCTGCATAAGACACTGAAGACCAGACTGGTCCCCCTAAGCCACAGACTAGAGGTTAGCACACAAAAGCAACTCACATTAAGCAGGTGGACAGCCAGAGTGGAAGCACTTGACCTACCTCTTCCACAGGTCAGGCTTTTTAAAGATTGGTAATCTGTGATCGGCCAGAAAATGTGCTGTTGGTGGATCCCTAGAAATAAAAAAAAATTGCGCATCAATATAAAAAACAAACAAACAAAAAAAAAAACAACAGAACAACCTATATATAAAGATAGTGTTACATGGAAAACAAACTCAATGATGATTTACACATAAATAAATTAATACCAAACAAAGGACTTGAAAGGCTTATCAGAGCCCAGATCAAGGAGATTCTATTTTCTGCCCAACACCCATAAAGGAGAAGAGAACTGGAGTGAGATCCTATAGAGAGGAACATAATATCTAATTGTAGCAGAAAAACATATTGTAGAAGAGATATTGAATGTTATTTAAATCCATGATCTATTATAGATTGTAGATGAGTTAAAGGTACATAAGATGTACGATACAATACAATTAAACAGATAACCTCTCTCAAGGAGTCATTATTATTTACCACAGATACAGATACACTCTATAGTAAAGTAGATGTGAATTAAGATATTAATTCTATAAAAAAAAACATTGATTAAGTATCCCAATATTAAAAGGCCAGACAAGGAACTGGACATTAATTGAAGAAAAAAATAACTTTGAACTCAATGGCCAGTTCTCCCTGCAGATAAAGGGTAAATATAAGTAGAAAAGTGTATCTATTGAACTGGGTGAAAAGTTTTTTTATGGAAATTTTTCTGCTCCACAGAGAAATCTTTGTCCCCTCTAGTTTTTAGCCCTGCCTCAGGGACCGTAAATAAAATCTGGT